AGTTCAGAAAGAAAAAATCAAGAGAGAAAGCACTTAGAAGTCAGGAGATAGCTTAATGGGTAAAGTACTTGCTCTGTAAGCAAGCATGAGGACCTGAGTTTAGATCCCCAGTATTCCATGTAAAGCCTGGGCACAACAAGTCATACCTGTAACCCCAGTGACCCCAGTAATGTGGAAACAGGCAGATCCCATGGGCTTGATGGCTAACCAGTCTAGCTTAAATGGTGAATTCAAATTCACTGTTGAAACCTTATCTCAAAAAAATAAGGTTGGGATCTGGAAGGATAGCACAGTATTTAAGAGTACTCTCTGCTCTTGCAGAGGACATGGGTTCCCAGCTCCTACATGGTGGCTCACAACTGTCTGAAACTGCAGTTCCAAGGGATCTGATGCCCTCCCTCTTTAGGTATCTGCTCGTACCAGGCACCCACATGGTGCATAGACATACATGCAGGCATAACACACACACATATACATATATACATATATACATATACATATACACATACACATACACATACATATACATATATATATATATATATATATAACATAAAAAGTAATAATAAAATAAGGTGGACAGAAATAGAGGAAGATACCAATGTCAACCTCTGACCTACTCATTCATGTCCATGCACAGTCAAATTCATCTGCATACAAACATGCATGCACATCACACACACAAAGAAGAACAAAAGAGGAGAGGGGAAGGAAGAGGGAGAAAAGAGATGGAAAGAATCAGTTAAGGACCTTTGGGTAGGAAAATGGAGTCTTTGGCTAAGCTCCAAAGCATAATCTAAATGTTAGCAAGCCTAGAGGCAAGAAGGCCAGGGGGACCACCCAGCAAAAGACATGAAAGGGGTCACTCTGGGTTTATGAGGAGCAGATCAACAGAATCACAGTAACAGGTCCTGAGTGAGTTCTTTTTCTCGGTGAAGAACAGACCAGAAGCAAAAGCACAGAGCAGGAGGCTGTGGCTGACTGGGTGTGGGCTAGTCAAGGGCATCTGGGACTGCTGGATTCTATCTAGGTGTGAGTTTTGTTCTGTTTTGTTTCATTACATCAGCTGGTATATGCAGCCATCATCAGGCTGCTGGCCTACAGAATCTCTGCACCTCCTGCTCTAATAGATTGTTTCTGTAATAGCCCTAAAAGCAGATATGGCCAGAAGTGGCCAGTCTTTACTGGTCACTCATTCGCTTGATTGTTCCTCCATCAACACACACGTCTACTCACTAAATACTAACAGGCTCCAGAAACATTTGGAAATAAAATACAGCCATTGCTTTTACAAGGTTTCTAGACTTCTGGGATAGATAGATTAAAAAATAACTCTTACACCCAACAGACGCTTAAGTACCACAAGAGCGGAATGAACAAAATTCTGTGCCAGGGGTTGAGAACAGAGCAGATCAGGCTGCATTTGACCAGCAAATGTTTTGTTTGGCTCACATGGTGTTTTACTTTGTTTTTTCTAATTAGGTGCCAACATTTAAAAATTAGGACATTTCACACTAAAACGCAGATTCCTAGCTTCTGGTAAAAATAGGAAGATCTGCACACACCAGGCCAAATTTCTACCCATAATAATTGGCAGGAGCAGAGCAGCAGCTGCCCCTTTCATGCAGAGTGGGAGCCTTCCAGTTTGCCATAGTCCTTGCTACTCCCTATTACTCTCTGACATGGATGCCAATGCTTGGTTGCCAGTTCTTGCCAGCTTGTGCTATGGGTGTTTTGTTTGGTTGTTTGTTTCATTATGTAGCCCTGGCTGTGCTGGAACTCACTATATAGACCAGGCTGGTCTCAAACCTAAGAGATCCAACTGCCCCTGTCTCCTGAGTGCTTAGATTAAAGGCATGGACCCTTGGCTGTGGGTAATCTCATACTAAAGAGAAAAGTAATAAAACTATGTTATTACCTTAGCACTGCTGAGGTTGAGACAGGAGGACCAGAAGCCCAAGGCCAGCTGGGTTACATGAGACCCTGCCTCAAAACAAGTAACGTCAAGGCCTTTTTCTTTAATGTTGAACTGTCTATTGGGGCATGTGTACCATGGAGCACTTTTGGAGGTCGGAGGATAACTTGCTTCTCTCCTTTCACCACGTGAGCCAAACTCAGGTCATTATGCTTGGCAGTAAGCACTGCTGAGCACACTCCTGCTAATCACCACAAAGTTGTGCGTTAAATGAAAGACACAGGCAAGGTGACGTGTTTCAAGTAGGATGGAGGAGAATGTCCTTCGAGTAACAGAAATAAATCCCTTCTGTTTAATATGCAAGTAAGGACTGCCTAGTCAGTCACATTACTCACCTAACTGAAATCAGAGCCTGAGGGAACTGGTTTTCATATAGGACCACCCGAGCTTGCAAGCTGGGTCCACCACACAGATATGTGCCCCATCTACCCTTCCTATAAGTCAGTTTTCTCGTCTGTAAAGTGGACATAACTGAAGTACCTACCTAGAGCTGCTTTGAAGAGACAATGAGGTAAAGGACACAAATTCTCAGCTAGTGTCTGAATCATGTCAGCATTAGCTGTGACTTGTGCAAGTTCCTCCAAAGCCAGCCTTGAGGGACATTTAGGATCTGGGTGTTACGCAAGGAAAGGCCTCAGGACAGACAGAGTGGTATGAAGCAGAACAGACCAGCTATGAAGACTCTGAGTCAAGCTGCGAATTGTTCAATAAGCCAGAATTTCCTGAACTGTGTTCCTGGCTAGTGAATTTTAATGACAAAATAGAATAGGACATTAAATCACACTGAATTAATTAAGATGACAAAGTCATTCTATTGTCATTCTCTCTTTTTAAAACATTTTTTTAGTATCTTTTTTTTCTGTTTTTGATTTTTATTTTTGTTTTTCTGAGTTTTCTTTTTTTTAAATAGTCTTCCCTGGGGAAGAGCAGAACTATGGGTTTTTTTAAAAAGCATTTATTTATTTTTTATGTATATGAGTACATTGCAGCTGTCCTCAGACACACCAGAAGAGGGCATCAGATCCCATTACAAGATGGTTGTGAGTCACCATGTGGTTGCTGGAAATTGAACTCAGGACCTCTGGAAGAGCAGTCAGTGCTGTTAAACGCTGAGTCATCTCTCCAGCCTGAGACAGAGTTTCTTTGTGTAGACTTGGCTGTTCTGGAACTCACTTTGTAGACCAGGCTGGCCTCATACTCAGAGATCTGCCTGCTTCAGATTCCCAAGTGCCGGGATTAAAGGTATATACCAACACGCCCAGCCATTTTATTTTTTAACCATATATGTGTAACACTGTGTGTGTAAATGATTTGGGGGTACATATGCCATGAAACTGGTATGAAGGTCCGAGGACAACTTTATGGAACTGTTTTCTTCTTCTAACAGGTTTCATCACTGGGCAGCAAGTGCTTTTGTCTGATAAGGCATTTTCCCATCCTGTTTTTTTTGACTTTTGAGACATGGTCTCACAGAGCCTAGGTTGGCCTTGAACTCATTAGGTATGAGAACTCCATATCCTCCTGCTTCCTCCTCTAGGTGTACAAGGATTACACGCTTGGGCCCAGCTTTCTTTCCACCCCTTTTCAAACTATTTGTATTTGCTTGTGTGTAATGTGTGGGTAGGTATGTCAGTATAAAATGTGCATGAATATACATGTGTGCAGATGTGTTCTGCAGAGCCCGGAGGGCATCAGGTGTCCATCTCTCCTCTTCTGACTTGTTCCTCTGAGGCAGGGTCCTCCCTTTAACTTGGAGCCCCCCTCTTTTTGGCTAAGTTGGTGGCCAGCAAACCCTATCAATTGTCCTGTCTCAACTCCGCTCTGTACCACTGTTACAGGCTTACATAGGACCACACCTGACTTTTATGTGGGTGCTGGGATCAGAACTCTGGACCTTATGCTCACTCTAAGTGCTCACTCTTAAATATTAAGCTTTAATCCTCAATATTTTAATTAAGTATTAAATTAAGCTCACTCATAAGTACTAATTTTAAAGATATTCTTCAAACTTTCTAATCAGGAGAATGTCTTGATTTGATGCGCATCTTACATGTTTCTCTGACCTTACATGGAAATGTCTGACTTCAGACACAGTAGATCTCAGCTCAGGTGGAAATGCTCTCTTTCAACAGTACCTAGATGCAAGTTATTCACAGTATTTGTTCCTGGCTTGAAAGTTTTTAATCCCAGCACTGGAGAGGCAGATGCAGATGTATCTCTGTAAATTCAATGCCAACTTGGTCAACATAATAAATTCCAGATTAGCCAGAGCTTTAAAGTGAGACTCTTATCTCAAAAACAAACAAACACAAACAGAAGAAACTTAAAGAATGTCAGATAAACAAAAAGTGTGGGCACTTTGATGATGTAGCAAAAGTTAGGAAGCTGAGAAAACACTGGTGGATGAGAGACGACCAATAGGGTTTTCGAGAAGAGAGAAATGAGACTGGATGATAATGACGTATAAATTGCTCCAGCGGATCGCCACCATCAGATGGTCCCTAACCCCCTCCAGGAATCTCGGTTTCTCTTCCATTGGGGAGTTGTAGGCACAAAATCAGACTCCTCGACCCAGGCCGCAGGCCCGTTGCCATGGCAACGCTCTGGTTCCAGCCACCTCCCCGCCATCCCCGAGCTTCCCGCTCCTCACCACTGCTCCGCTTTGTCTCTCCACGTCAACACGGCCCTCATCGCCGTTTCCCTTAAGCCTCGGGCCCCTCCTCCCAGCCTCGGCAGCAACAGGCTTCTCTCCACAAACCACTTCAGCTACCTGCGCTACCCTTAGCAACGCACATGCGCAATGAACCGCGCGTGAGTTTTTTTTTCCCCCAAAGCTCCAAGTGCGCATGTCCAACGGGAGCCCTGGCTCCTCTGCGGAAGCGCCGAGCGCGTAGGGACGCAGGAGGCGTAAGTACGACACGAGCGATTGGTCAGGGAAGGTGGGTGTGGCAGGGAGTCTTGACGACGGAGAGTTTGATTGGCGGGACCCTGGCTGTGGCGTCTGGAGCAGAAGCGGTGGCGGGAAGGTTGGTGGGGGATTGACTGACTTTCACGTCAGTGTTTGGATTAGGCCTAGTGCTTTGAGTTGTGTTTTACTCCACCTCCCGGCCTGAAGCTGCAGCTGCGCCCCAGTGGACCAAAGCAGCAGGGATGGAGAGCCCAAACCTTGGGGACAACAAAGTCCCCTCCGTCACCGCTGAAGAGAGCCTAGTTCCAGACCCGCCTTGGGATCGCTGGCAAGTTTTTAAACCTCTCTCGGGCCTCAGAGTTGTCGTTCTTGTGTGGGTCTTCCTAATCTTCAGCACAAGGTGACGGACACCTAGAGCTGTCGCCCCGTGGCAACAGACTAGAGTGTACCCGGTTCCTTGGCCGAACTGACTGGGGAGCTTGGAGGACAAGGGAGGTTTTGTGTTGCAAGCAGGTTAGCCTGGGCCGGAAGGGTCCCTCAAAAATAGCCCTATGAAAAGTCAACAGAGGAAGCTACTGTTGTGTCCGGGCTAAAATGGTGCACTTATTTGCATGTCCCAAAACTTGGCCGTTAAAACAATTTTAAGGTCTGGACATTTAACTAAGTTGGTAGTGTTTACGTAGTAAACACAAAGCAGCAGTGGGTTCGAGCGTCAGCACCGAATACCCGGGCTTGGGGGCGTATGCCTTTGGAAGCAGGAGGATCAGAAGTTGAAGATGAGTCTCTGGTACGTCGTGAGTTCAAAGTTAACCTGGGGTGCATAACCTGGGTCCTGTCTCAAAAGTAACAACAACAAAACCTTTTTTTTTTTTTTAACGTTGCTTCCTTTTCACAGATGGAGAAAGATTTTTAAGCTCTAAGTGAGTTTCTCTTTGGAAGCTCAGCTAATAATAATAACAGAGCTGGGATTTTGACCCATTTTGTTGATCTAACATTTGTAGTGATAACCTCAAGTTTCAGTTACCATGTCTCCCTATAAGATTCTTTTAGCTGATATTAAACCCCAAATTCCATCAGAAGAATGCCATGGTCTAATTGTGGTTAGTCTCTAGGTCTTGCTTAGTTTCCCTATTTGTAGAAAGTAGCTTGGGTTAGAAGGTCTCTCTAGAGACTCACTTTTATTTATGCGTTGGTATATGTATATGAGTGTTGGTGGAGACTAGAGGAGGTGTCAGATTCCCTGGAGCTGGAGTTGCAGGCTGTTATAAGCTTCCTGATGTGGGTGCTGGGGTCCTCTGAGATATGTTCTCTTAACCACTGAGGTATCTCTCTAGCCCCTCACTTACCTTTTAATATGTATAGGTTATGATTAAAATACACTGCTCAGCTGGAGAGATAGTTCAGTTGTTTAAAGCAGTTATTGCTCTTCTGTAGGATTGAGGTTAGGTTCCCAATACCCACAGCAGAGGCTCACAACCATCTGAACTCAGCTCCAGAGGATCTAGTCCCTTCGGGCCTCAGCACCTGCATGGTGCACATAAAAGGATAAAGAAATTCCTTTAAAGGGGAAGAGATCTACTGCACTGAAGGTTTTGTGGGAGCTATCAATGGGAGAAGTATTAGGTAGGTCTGGGGTTTTGGGATCACCTCTGCAGGTGATTTGATTTTGTTGTCACACAATTTGTCAATAAGAATAAAAAAAATTTTTTTAGAGATTTATTTACAGTTAGAAGATTGTGAACCACCCTGTGGGTACTGGGAATTGAACTCAGGACCTCTGGAAGAGTAGCTAGTGTTCTTAACAGCTGAGCCATCTCTTCAGCACCCAATGAGAATACATTTTAACCACACAAAGTGATGAGAATCAAGACTGAAAGAGATTTGGAAGTTTTTATCAAAAATGATGTACCTTTTGGAGGGCCACACCATTGTATGAAAGTGGTAGCTGTTGTTTCTCAAAAAAATGCATACATATATTAAGTGTTTCCCTTACATGTTTGCAGGAGAGAGGGGTGATAGGGTGATTCATTTAAACAGTTTGGCTGATCTCAGATGAAGAGTTCGGTTACTGCTCTTATCTCAAACTTTCAACAACCATTATCAGAATCTTTTATAATAGTCCTATGGTGTGAATTTAAAAAAAAAAAAAGTTTAGCAGGTACTTTTTTTTTTTTTTTGGTTTTTTTTTTTGGGGGGGGTTGGTTTTTTGAGACAGGGTTTCTCTGTGTAGCCCTGGCTGTCCTGGAACTCACTCTGTAGACCAGGCTGGCCTCGAACTCAGAAATCCACCTATCTCTGCCTCCCAAGTGCTGGGATTAAAGGCGTGTGCCACCACTGCCCAGCTTGTGCAAAGATTCCTAACATTTAAAAACCCCATGTTGAGCTGGGCATTGGTAGTACATGCCTTTCATCCCAACATCTGGGAGGCAGAAGCAAGCGAATTTCTGTGAGTTTGAGTCCAGCCTGGTCTACAGATCGAGTTCCAGGACAGTCAAGGCTACACAGAAACCCTGTCTTGAAAACCGAGGTTGAGGAGGACACCCATGTTAAAGGATGAGAAGTTGTCAGAGATGGGACAATACTCATGGCACAAGACTAGCTCACTGACTTTAATCTTTTATGCAGTCCCATACTGCTGTAGGTGGAAATTGAGGAAGCAGGGTAAAAGAAATTTTAAATGAGTTCATTATTTGGGTTTTGTTCTTCCAGCAAGGAAGATGTTGCTGTTGGACTGGAAGGAGAGGGAGGAGACGGAAAGAACCTGGTGATAAGCAGTGAGTGCAGCTCCCTCCTCCAGGAGTCTGCTGCTTCTGCTCTGTCTAGTTGTACTGCAGCGACAGAGTGCCACCAGCCTGTCCCATGTGGATGGGAAAGAGTTGTGAAGCAAAGGTTATCTGGAAGAACTGCAGGAAGATTTGATGTATACTTTATCAGGTAAGCATTTAGGGAGGAAAATAACAGTACAGCCAAGTGATTTTTGTCTGTAATGGGAAAGGATAGCAAGAACCTGAGGTTTATGGGCTAAGGAAGTGACTCAGGGAATAAAGCATTTGTCATTGCAAGCATGAGGACCAAAGCTCAGACCCTCAGAATCCATCTGCAGAGTGGGTACAGCAGCTGTCTGTAATCCTGGCTCTCAGGACCCAGAGATGGGATCCTCAAGGAAAGCTGGCTAGCTAGACTAGCTGGATTTAGTGAGTTCTGGGCTCAGTGAGAAACACTGTCTCAGTAAATAAAGTAAGAAACACTGTCTCAGTAAATAAAGTGAACAAGGACATCTAATTTTAACTTGAGGCTTCCACATGCACAGGTACACATGAGAACACTCATATACACATGCATATACCACGTACATACGTTTTTAAAAAAATGTATTATAAAATCATTACTGTTCCTTCTGTGACACTGTTTGTATCAAGTGATTTGGGGACAGTCACATACACACAGTGTTGATTCTGTTCTCAATGGTAATGAGACATTTGGATTTAAGTTACATTTGTATGCTGATTTTATACTATCAGAAGAATCTATTGAAAAGGGCCATTTACCACTTTTTGTCGCTTTAAAATGCCAAACTCTTTGGTGACATTTAGAAACTATTAATTGGAAATCTGAAATGCGGGTCCAGTTCTTTTTTAAAAAGTCACTCTTTTTTTTTTTTTTTTTTTTTTTTTTTTTGTAGCCCACAAGGATTGAAGTTCAAATCAAAACGTTCACTTGCTAATTATCTTCTCAAAAATGGAGAGATTTTCCTTAAGCCTGAAGATTTTGATTTTACTGTACTGTCTAAAGGGGGCATCAGTCCAAATTGTAAACACCAGCGTTTAGCAGCTCTGACTTCCCAGCAGCCAAATAAAACTGACATTTCAAAGCAGAACCTCAGGACACGAAGCAAGTGGAAAACAGATGTGTTGCCTCTGCCCAGTGGTAATTCAGAGTCCCCAGATAGCAGCAGACTGTCTAACTCTACCTCTGCTTGTTTGCTATTGAAAGAACTTAAGGGCATTCAGGATGCTGACTCTGGAAAGAAGAGAAAGCTCAAAAGAAAGGTGACTGTTTTGAAAGGAATTGCAAGTCCGAAAACCAAACAGAGGTGCAGGAAGAGTCTCTCAGATTCTACTCAAAGAAACAGAAAAAGAGGATCTGTGGTTCAGAGAGCAGGCGCTGATAGCGAGCTGGTTCCACAGGAAAGTCAACTCAACAGAACCCTCTGCCCTGCAGATGCCTGTACAGGGGAGACTGTCAGCTTGGCTGGGGAAGACAAGGGCCCGGGACAAGAAAAATCACCAAGCCCAGCATCGGATCTTTGTTTCACACAAGTAACTTCTGACACCACAAGCAAATTGCATTCAATGGAAGCAGCAGGTGATGAAAAGCGTGAGCAGACTTTTTTAGAATCAGAGGAAATCAGACCGAAGGGAGACGAAGAGGGGGAGTCATATTTGCATATCGACGATGTTTTACAGGGTGGCTCTGAAATGCCCAGCTGCTCACAAGCCAAGAAACACTTTACTTCTAAGACATTTGGAGGTACCTGTGCATGAAAGTTCTGTTAGCTGTGTGGCAAACTGTTTACCCTCCAGGACCTTGTATTTCATGCCTGGATGTGGTTGAGACAGGGAGTATAGTGGAGAAGAGCCACGCATTAGATATATTCTCCCAGTTGATCCCAGTATCTGCCCTCTCTAAGGGATTTCTGAGAACAGGGTTTTATGTATCCCAGCTAGCCTGGGTCTCACTATATAGCTGAAGATACCTTTGACATCGTATCCTTCTGGCTCTGCTGGGTGCTGGGATTAAAGGCATGTGCCACTATGCCAGTTTACGTGATACTGGGCACAGAACCCAGGGATTAATGCGTGCCAGACAAGCACTCTATCAACTGAGTCACATCTCTATCCAGTAACTGATCTGTGAGCTTGGTCATCAAGCCCTTAATTATGGCAGAGAAGTAATCAGCTGGCTACAGCCAGGATGTTCAGCAAAAGAAGACGGGTGTGTCACGGCTGCTACCACCTCTCCCTAGACAGCAGCTAAGAGGTGGAGCTTCCCACACTCGATATCTTCTTCTTTGGCAGTAATCTTAAGACTGTGAGGAGAATTCTCTGTGAAGAGTGTAGATAAGACTCCTTTTATAAACTGACCAAGAATAGTCAGCATCCTCCTGTCCCTCCTGTGCTGCTGCCGTGTGACTCCCAATTTAATTTCATCTGTATTGCATTCTTTTTTTTTATTCTGTTACAGCCTGCTGAGTCTCTAAAAGGCCTTGGGGCTTTCAATAATTCAAAAGTATAATCGCTTAGTTCATGTATTATTTGTACTGTGCTCTTCACACAAGAGTCCCGGTCTTGGCAGTTTTGCCTATACAATGCCTCAGTGAATAATAGATAAAAAGATCTGAGCAGCTCTGAGTTATTCATTATGCCATAACAGCATAATGAATAACTCCCTTAAAGAAGAGTAGTAATTTTAATTTTACTTAGATTCCTTTGGGAACACAGCCTGCACAGATTGGTGGAACCAGGGTAACGCTTGATTTCTGCTTCCAGTCCCATCCATAATTGTGCGTCTTCTCTGTGCCTGGGATTGGTGCGTCTTTAACAGATGGCCACATATACCTAGAAAATGGATAAGAATTCCTGAGTGTGTGTCCTTTGAGCTTCTTAAAGCATTGGATTGTATAGATATACTGCAGTTATAATGGGAAGGTTAAATATTAAAAGCATCTTCTCTTAACTAATATGGAAGTATCCAGCTCATCCTATACTGAAGTCTAGTTCTCAGTGGAAACAGGAAATGCTGTTGGGTACTAGGTGCCCAGTGGAATGATCATGGCTTGGCTAGAAAGTGTCAAGACAACAACTAATAAAGGAGGCTGGTTACTTAGAGGATGTGGGAACCCATGAAAAACATCAAGCACCCATAAGATCAGTTTCCTTTGTTCTGTTTCATGCTTTCGTCTGGGTTCCCTTGCCCAGACTAGAATAGCAAAAGGCACTGACGTCATTATGTGGAGACCTGGATACTTGTCAGAGTGTTTAGTCAACTCTGGTATCATTTTCTGGCAACTACTTTAAGCTTTAGTTTCTGAAAATTAAAGGAATACCCCAAATTAGTTCCATTTTTCATATCAAGGCAAAAGAAAGTAGCTAGGGAGATGACCCAGCAGCTAAGAGCACTTCCTGCTTTTCCAGAAGACAGGAGTTCAGTTCCCAGCACTGATGTCAGGTGGCTTATAACTGCCTGTAACTCCATCACCAAGGGATCTAATGCTCTCTGCTGTCCTCCACAGGTATCTACACACATGTAGCACATGTGTAAATGAAAATTAATGTTATGATAAGGTAGCTGAGAATGGTGTTATGTGTCTATAGTTCCAACACTTGGAAGTTAGATGTAGATAGAAAGATTGTGAATTTAAGGCCATCCTCAGCTACATGGCAAGTTTGTGGTGAGCCTGGACTACATGAGACATTGTCTCAAAACAAAAAATAATTGTGAGGTAAAAATAAGTGAAAAAAGATGGTTTTATAATATACAAATGTAAGTAAGACATTAACTGATACTCAGAGGGTGTAGCTAAAGGGAGTATTATGACCATTTCAACTAGAGATTGAAACTTGAGAGGTTTGATAATATTGGTTAAGATTTTTATTTTGTATATGTGGATGACTGGGTGGGTGTGGATGCCATATATGTGTGGGTATCCACAGAAGGCAGAACAGGGTATTAGATCCCCTAAAGCTGGAGTTACAGGCAGTTGTGAGCCACTCAACATTGGTATTGTGAACTGAACTTAGGCTCTCTGGAAGAGCAGCAAGTACTCTTAGTGCTGAGTGATCTGTCCAGAAGCTTGTTGGGTAGCCCAGGCTGGCATCGAGCTCACAGCTCTTCCTCAGCTTCTGTGTGCCTCCTTTTTGGTAAATGCAACTGGGGAACCTTTCAAATGTGCAGGGAAATTACAGAAGAAAGGAAAAATTGCTACTTCTAACACCACTGTACCGTCTTGATTCTATCCTTAGTGTCTATGGTGTGTGCGTACATACACATAGAAATTCATGTTTATAAAATTGAGATCATATGTAGAACCTTACCTCTTTTTTTTTCCTTTTTGAAGTAAATGTCAGTAGAAAATATTCTTGATAGAATCTCAACATTCTAATGACCACATTGTACAAATATATTAGAATATTCGAACTGTTTTCCATACTGTGAGCTGGCCATGTAAATCATAGGACACCAGTAAAGGGCACAGGCTCTTGAGCTAGCCTGCCTGGATTTCCCCTGTAATTCTCACACTAGCTGTGTGACCTGGGACTCATTTAGCTTCTCTGTGCCTCAATTTCCTTATGGATAAAGTAGAGATAAAATAATGCCCAACTGATAGGATATTAGTAGAATTTGGATAATTTATATAGCCTAGGCTAGCCCCAGCATTCCCTAAACCATAGACTATAAACTATTTTTACTTTTCAGAAGACAGCATCCCACGAACACAAGTAGAAAAAAGGAAAACAAGCCTGTATTTTTCCAGCAAGTATAACAAAGAAGGTACCCACCCTTCCCCAAGGAGAATGGGGGTGGGGTGGGGATGGGGGGGTCTTGGTGGGGGGGTTCCCAAGTCTTTTATGAGAACAACTTTGACAACCCTATGTTTTTGTAGCTCTTAGCCCCCCAAGACGCAAAGCCTTCAAGAAATGGACACCTCCTCGGTCACCTTTTAATCTTGTTCAAGAAATACTTTTCCATGATCCTTGGAAGCTTCTCATTGCGACTATATTTCTCAATCGGACCTCAGGTTTGTGGGTCATTGTCACCTTCTCCTGGTTAGAAGGGAAAAGCCCAAACTAATTAAGAGGCGCAAGTTTGGGCTGGAGAGATGGTGCAGCATTTAAGAGCACCGACTGCTCTTCCAGAGGTCCTGAGTTCAATTTCCAGCAACCACATGGTGGCTCACAACCATCTGTAATGGAGTCTGATACCCTCTTCTGGTGCTATCTGAAGAGAGCAATGGTGTACTCATATTATTAAATAAATAAACAAACAAACAAATCTTAAAAAAAAAAGAGGCCCAAGTTCAAGGTACATTTTTGAGTTTGTGATATTGGACAAGGCTTTTCCCTTTTAGCCCTCAGAACTCTACCTATGCAAACATTAGAGTGAATAACAGCCAACATTCTTTTTAATATAAGGGCCAGGTGGTCATTGATTTCCTGCTAACAGATTAGCTTTAGTTATCAGCGAAGAGCAGTTAATATTTTTTCCTCCTTCTATCCTGTTTGGAACCTCCATGTGTTCATTAGATGCTTATGGTGGTTATCTAATGAGCGGATTATTTGAAAACTAGGCCAATTTTAATATAATTTGGACTAACAACCAAGTAGATTAACAGTGTTGGCATTTGGTTCTGTAAGTGGCTGCTGGTTCGGGTAGTGACTTGACAGTAGTTAAACAAGCAAGGCTAGGGACATAGCTCAATGGCAGAGCCCTTGCCAGCATGCAAAATACCCTAATTTTATTCCCAGAGCCACAAACACAGTAACAAAAATGCTACTGCCTGAAGTTTCTAGATGTAAAACTACCTAAAAAGAAGTCGGCTTTTCCCAGGACATGTGTGTGCCTTTGTTTATGCTCCCCAGGCAAGATGGCCATCCCTGTGCTGTGGGAGTTTCTAGAAAAGTACCCTTCAGCTGAAGTGGCCCGAACTGCTGACTGGAGGGATGTGTCAGAGCTTCTTAAGCCTCTTGGTCTCTATGATCTCCGTGCAAAAACCATCATCAAGTTCTCAGGTATGTTCCCCAAGCCCCAATGGAAGAAGCAGATTGTGCCATTGAAGGCAGCCACACCTTAAACATGAATGCCCTCGGATGCTGTACTAATTGAGGTGATTTAGCTCAAGCCCCAAAGACATTTAAAACAGGCTGTTTGCCCCACCACAGACTCTTACTGACCCAAACCATAAATCTTTGCCCAACACTGAATAGCCCTGTGCATAGAAGTAGTATTTCCTCTGTCTATTTAGCAAAGCACAGAAGAGTAATGCAGAAGAGGCAGGTGATAAGGGCATTAGGGAACTGAGGCTACAATCAGTGCTACTTCAGAGGGAGGGGTCATCGTGCCCCATGGCAGGTGTAAGGAGGGTGATGACCATGTGTTGGGTATGTATTCCTCAGACGAATATCTGACAAAGCAGTGGAGGTATCCGATTGAGCTTCATGGGATTGGGAAATACGGCAATGACTCCTACCGGATCTTTTGTGTCAATGAATGGAAGCAGGTAAACCCACCACTATCCATAGCCAACATAAGCCAACATATCCAGCAGATTTGCCTCTAGGGCAAAAAAAAAGTTCACCAGTATGCCTGGATCTATGAGAAAGAAATCCTGTTGTAGTCCCAACAGATTTGCCTTCTATTCAAAGAGCAGCAGGGACATGAGGTTATGAACTGTAGTTATGAACTCTTGAGGTGCTGCCCCAGTCCCTGTGCTGGCCTCCCACTGACTTGAGCTGTCCCTCCTGACCCTACTACCCATCTGTGCTCTGTTTAATACTGACAGGGTTTCTTCCGGTTAAAAGGAGCCCCTAGTGCTGAGAGGAGATGGCTTAGTTTGTAAAGTGCTTGCCCTGAAGACTTGAATTCAGATCCCTAGAACTCACAGAAGAGCCAGGCATGACAGCATACACCTTCTGCCTGGTAGTCCCAGCACTGTGGGGCAGAAACAGGAGGATGCCTGGAAGTTCCTGGATAGCCTGTCTGAGTTTGTATACCAGATAGCCTAGCTTATGTGGTAAAGCTCCAGGCCAGTGAGAGACCCTTTCTCAAGCAAAAAGTGGAAGATGGGCTAGGAGATGGCTCAGGGTGTAAAGGGGCTTGCTGCACAAGCCTGGGGACCCACATAAAGGTGAGAAAAAAAAACTGACTCTAAAAAAATTGTACTTCATAGACATGCCTCAGTATACATGAATATACAACTAATAATTTTTTTCTGAAGGTAGAAGGTGCCCGAGTCCTCTGACCACACACATCCACCAAGAATATACAAGTGCCTGTACACACATACACATCCCCAAAACAGGGTCCTCCATAGAAGAGGAAATATTTGGACTTAGAGTGTCTAATTGTCAGATTTCTCCTCATATCTCAGACTAGAATCTGGCATCTGGGTCCTATTACAACTCCCCATTCCATTCTTCCTGCCCAGCACTAGTGTATGTTGATAGCAGCTTGACAGCTGGAGGGTATCTTAGCACACTGCCTTCTCACAATATGGCCCTATATTAAGTCAGTGAGGTCTAGAGAAACCCAGACTGAAGGGCCACAGTTCTACCCCGTCATTACCAGAGCCATTGTTAGCTTCACAGGGTCTGTAATCATCACTGCCTTCTTCTCCAGGTCTGGGTTAGATACAGTCTTGTTTGCTGCTGGGTTCAATGTCTCTGTTTATCTCAGGTGTGTTATCATGATGAACTCCCTCACCAAATCTTTAAATGTGTCTATGGCTTATATGTTGCATTTCTTCCAGGTGCACCCTGAAGACCACAAGTTAAATAAATACCATGACTGGCTTTGGGAAAATCATGAAAAACTAAATCTATCTTAAAGCTGCCTATTTGAAGTTTCCTATGCATTGCTTTGTGCTTCCGTTTCTAAGGGCCCTGTGGTGTACAATGAGATCCCTTCCCGGCATGTAGGGTTTTTTTTTCAATTTGTTAGAAGCCTCTTTCAGTATGTCTTAAGCTTCCATTTTTAAAAAAAAAAAAAAAAAAAAAAAAGATCCTAAAAGTGTGTTCAATTTAGTTTTTCCAGTGATGAAATGTTCAAAGCCAGTTACCAGCACTCCTGCTGAGGAAAGGCTAAACATGTATTCTCTTTCTATAAAAAGTGATATTGTCATATGCAGAAAGAATCTGCCATTCCTATGGATATTGCAGTGTTCAAAGTTTAAATGGGCATTTACTTTAGAAAGATATCACTAAATAAAAACCAAATTGACCTACACATAGTGGCACACACCTATAATCCCAGCACTCAGGAGACTGAAGGAGGAGGATAGAAATTTGAGGGCCTGCCTCTACTGTATAGAGACTCTGCCTCAAAACCAAACAGAGCAGGGCCAGTGAAATGGCCCAGTAAATGAAATCACTTGCTGCTCAGCATGATGATCTGACATACATGTTACAAAATACATAAATTTTTCAAAAATGGTCTGGAGAGAGATGGTTCAATGGTTTAGTTTGCTTGCTGCTTTTACAGAGGACTTGGGTTAATTTTTTTTGGGGGGGGGGAGGTGAGACAGGGTTTCTCTGTGTAGCCTTGGCTGTTCTGGAACTCACTCTGTAGACCAGGCTGGCCTCAAACTCAGAAATCCGCCTGCCTCTGCCTCCCAAGTGCTGGGATTAAAGGTGTGCACCACTATCGCCTGGCCTGGGTTAATTTTTTAGCACCCACATCAGGCAGCTCACAACTGCTGTATCAACAGCTCCTGGGAATCTGACACCTCCTTTTGGATTCATTTGGTAACCTTAGCACATGTGGCATATATATGCATAAACATTAAAAAAATTAAGTCCTAATTACTTAACACTATTTTAAGATGTAATTTGAAAATTAAATTATATCTCTTCCTCAAGGCAACATCTACTCAAAATGCATAATATTCCATCCCATTTTTCATTAACAAAATATGTTCTGATATATTCATCCATGCCAGTCATAGTGGTACACTACTATAATCCTAACACTTGGGAGTCTGGAGAGGATCATAATCAAGGCCAGCCTGGGCTACATGGTAAGACCCTTATATCAAAAACAAAACAAAAGATCCACTAGTGGCACACACAGAGAAAAATGAACAGATGGGCATTATAATGTAGATGTGATGAAAATACATATCCAATACTTGGAATGCTGGGGCAAGAGAACCACTGTGAATTAAGGCAGCCTGGCTTATGAGAGCTTTGGTTACACAGCAAAACCCTATACAAACAATACAAACCAAGCTTGTTGGACTAAATAAGCTATGTCTAGAGAAGTGTCTGTCTGTCTTTATAATGGAATTCTTAAGATCCTAATATACTGTGAAGCCTATCACTGTATAAGGTAGTTAATAGAATATTTTTATTAAAAAGGAAGGTCCCGGAGCTGCCGAGATGGCTCAGTGGTCAAGAGCTCTGGCTGTTCTTCCAGAGGTCCTGAGTTCAATTCCTAGCAACCACATGGTGGCTCACAACCATCTATAATGGGATCTGATGCCCTCTTCTGGTGTATCTGAAGACAATGCCAGAATATTTACATACACAAAATAAATTATTTTTAAAAAATAAAAAGAGGAAGGTCCCTTTGGCATCATGTGTTCTTGACCACTCGCATTGGCTCTTGGGAATTTTAGATTTGGCTTTAATATCCCTGTGAGGGCGTGGCTTATGGCCCCATTGCAACTTACTCTTTAACCCCAATCCTTGGTGAAACCTCCTATCTCCCAGTGGAAGAATGCGACCTTTTTATGTTTGGTGCCATTTCCATGACAGGTGGTATACCATCATGGTTCCAATCCCGAGGACCAGTTGTTCTAAGGTTTAGTTTGAAAATTAAATCGAATGAAGGCAAAGTAAACCAACTGTCAGGAAGCTGTTTGCCATAGGACAGTGTATGGATATAGACAGGTGTACTATGATGCAGGCTAATTGATTTTTCCCTCTGGTGAACAAGTGGCAGCTGTTAAAGAGGGATGCTGGAGAGATGACTGGTGACAGAGTAGTCAGGTTCAGTTCCTAACATCTCTGGAGAATCACAACAGACATTACAGGAACACACATAAGGGCAGAGACCTGTGCCAGGGAGAGGCAAAAAGATGAAAAGGCTCCATAGAGACCTCCCAGAAAGAGAGAACAGTGCTAACAGTATGGCAGAGAAGAGAATGAGGATGGACATCCAGACACAAGCAGCTCAGAGTACAGAGAAATCTTTGGATCCTTCAGCCGCAGCCAAGGTTAGGTGGTAAAGCAAATTTCTCAAATGACAGCTATGAGGTAAGGCTGCAGGGCAGGGCCACTTACAAACCCCCTTTCCCTGGTCACCTTGGAGGGACTCTGCCTGGATGATTGCTGGGGTTCCAGGGCGCCTCTTCCCTTTCAGGAGATAAGGTTGCCTGACCTCCGTGCCTTCCATGGCGTCTCAATGAAATCATATTGCCTTGTTGTCATGGTTTTGTAAGTGTTTAAAGGCTGTGGCTCAGAAGGGCCAGTTGAAGCAAGTGCCTCTCAGGTTGTAGGGAGTCAGGAATATGCTAAGTCTGGTGTAGGTGGTCCCCAGCATGCAGAACTTGTCCAAATATTGATCTTTATTTTGTGACATAATTTTAGGATCAGGAGTGTAGCTCAACAGTTGCGTTTGCCTGGCATATACAAGGCTTAGGGCTCAGTGCCCAGCAGTACAAAACAATTTTTTTTTTTTGAGACAGGATCTTGCTATATAGACGAGGCTGGCCTCCAATTCGCAGAGATCCTCCTGTGTACCACCATACCTGGCCAGAATAAATTTTTAAGTGTTGGAATTAAATGGTTTTGTTTTGTGTTTAACACGTTTACAGCCACTAACACTAGCTATCTCCAGGACATGTGTCACCCAAAAAGGAAACCCCATTCTAGTTAATAGTTAATTCTTTCTCACCACTCATCTCTGGTCACCAGCAGCTATGTTGTAGACTTACCTATTCTGGGCATTTCATATAATAGAACCCTTCAGTGTGAGGCCTGAGTCTGGACTCTTCTGTTTACTAAATTCCTCCATGTAGCATGGTCATGTGTCTTTCCATGCAGACCCAATATTTCACCTATTAGTGGACATTTCAAAGGCTTATTATTAGGACTGGTTCCAGCCTCCCTTTCTGGCTTTGATTTTTAAAGATAGGCTCTCATTGTGTAGCTCTGGCTGGCCTGGGACTTATGTAACACAAGCTGGCTCTTCTCAGCGCTGGGATACAAGTGGTTGCCATCATAACTGTTGATTCCAGACCATAACACCCAGTCATAGCACCAAGTACCTGTCTTTTATTTGACCTTGACTGACTAGGATTCTCAGAACCCAGCACAGAGTATGATCCTTTTTTTGAATCAGAAAACTGAAGCCTAAAGATGAAATCTGTGAAGATCTTGCAGCTTACAAGAAAACAGGAAAACATTTTCTTCAGAATCAGGAGCCATGGGAAGACAGATATAAGCATGATTTCTCAATAGAGGCACTAACCAGAGCTAAGCAAATCTCTGATGCTCCTGGATTGGGGGAGGGGGAACCTACGGGGGAGGGAAGAAGGGTTCTCCCGCCTCCTTCCTGCAAATGGAAGCGCTCAGCCAATTGGAGTAGGGCGTCTATCTGTAGTTATGGCAACAGAGGCTTGCTCTCTCAGCAGGTTGAGTTGTCTTTTGCAAAACATGAAGCTGATTTGCACCTAATGGCTAATCCCGGAGCATACTCTATAACGCCATCTACAGGAATCCTCCAGCTCCTGGCGGCAGAGCCATTGGAGAGCGCCAGGATAGGCTGGAAGCCTCATTGTGCCGTCTCCATTCTGGGCTAAGGGTTGCCAGGAGTTCCAGAAGGTCACAAACTTCCCGGATTCCTGTGCCCGGACCCAGCTGGAGAACCAGACTGAGTCTTTTAACTTGGAATCAAAGCCGGGCTCTTGTGTCTGGGAACCTGCATATTTCTCAGTTAGGCAACAATGCGTTCTATATTGAAAAAGAGACCTGGAGAAGAGACAGCCAGCTGTCTGTCCCCAATCAAGTGCTTGGCAAAGGGCTGCAATTTGAGAGGTGGAGGGTACAAACAGACAAGAAAAGCTGGAGGCCAGAAGACCCATGCTCTCGGAAAGCCTACTCCCCACTCATCTAATGCTTCTCAGTGGAATACTGGTCCCCCTAGCCGCCCTTCCTCAGCACACAGTCAGAATGTGCCAGAAACCTTGGCCAAACATAGTGGGAAGCAAAAGAAAGCGTCCAGGTTATGGGAGTCCCAGAAAGCCGAGGAGAGAAAAAGGAGTCATCGTGTGACATTCAGCTTGCCATTCACAGACCATGGTAAGTGAGGGTACTTTTCATGGAGATAGAAGGGATCCGAAGAACCAGGTTAGATGAGACTGGAACCAGGGGACACGTTTAATCTTAGTTGGTGGACACCTAGGACCCTGTAAACTACAGAAGTGAGATGTTTTCAGAACAACCAAGATGCATGGCTGTGCTGGGATGGGGGTACTCAGCACGGAGGTGAGTGGGAGAAGCTGTCTGGTGTAAAGTGTTGACCCTTAGGAGTGACCAGGACAACAGGAGCCCAGGATGATGGCCAGAAAGGAAGGCAGCAGCTAAGATGTGAGTCAGAAAAGGAGAACAAGTGTGTTTTCTGAGACAAGCGAGGACCCTCAGGCAGGTGCTCCTGGGAAGCACATGTGGGTCAGTTAATGGGATCTTCTCCAGCATTCAAGGCCCACAGTGAAGTTCTCTGTGTACCTGGGAATGTACAAACAGAAGCAAAGTCAGCCAGTGACAACCATTGACATCAGAGAGTGCACCTGACCTGTGCAAGAGTGAAAATTCAGCGCTTCCCCTTCCAATTCCACCATCTCCTCTAATGACAAGATGGTAGCCTCAGCCTGTCACTATAAGAGACCACCTACCATGCATGTTCGTAGTCCTGAAGAGCACTAGAATGAAGTTCGGTGAAGAGTGAGTGGGTAGTGAGCAGGCCACTTAGATGCAAGAGGGTGGCTGGGATGCCACCTGATAGGCTAGTCACTGTTCTTTGCTGTGAAGAGAAACACTTCAAGGCAACTCTTATGAAAGACAACATTTGATTGGGCATCTTGCTTATCGTTTCAGAGGCTTAGTCCAGTATCATCATGACAGGGAGTATGGTGGCAGACAGGTATGGAAAAGTATCTCAGATTTATACCCTGATACACAAGCTGAGAGAGAGCAGGAGAGAGAGTACCTGATGTGGGCTTTTAAAACCTCAAAGCCACTAGGCAGTGGTTGTATTAACCTTTAATCCCAGCACTTAAAAGGCAGAGGCAAGAGGATTTCTTTGACTTCAAGGGCAGCTTAGTGTGCAGAGTTAGTTCCAGGACCGCTGGGGCCATACAAAGAAACCCTGTCTCAAGAAAAAACTCAAAGCCTACCCCCTGTGACACATTTCCTACAACAAGGGTGCTTCTTCTTCTTCTTCTTCTCCCCCTCCTCCTCCTCCTCCTCCTCCTTCCTCTTCTTCCTCTTCTTCCTCTTCTTCCTCTTCTTCCTCTTCTTCTTCTTCTTCTTCTCAAATAGTTCTACTTCCTGGTGACTAAGTATTCAAACATATGAGCTTATGGGAGCCATTCTCATTCAAATTACAACACCCTTACTGTGAACCACAGAGTGGGAAGAGCTAGAAGAGAAGCCTCAAGGAATACCATGCCCTTTGGAACACACAGCGACTGGGTAAATAAAACCCAAAGGCCAGGTAAGGAGCAAGGAAACATGACTGAGCAGAAAGAAGCACTGTAGAAAAGAGAACAAGGTGGGTGTGAGATCATGGGGGAGAAAAGGGGCAAAGAGCTTTAGGCCATAACAGGAGGTATGTTAACTCCTTGAGCACCAAGAAGCCAGCTGTCTTAGTCAGGGTTTTACTGCTGTGAACAAACACTATGACCAAGGCATCTCTTATAAGGACAACATTTAATTGGGACTGGCTTACAGGTTCAGAGGTTCAGTCCATTATTACCAAGGCAGGGGCATAGTACAGAAGAGCTGAGAGTTTGGCATCTTGATCTGAAGGCCACTAGGAGAAGACTGGCTCCCACATGGTTAGGAGGAAGGTCTTAAAGCCTACACCCACAGTGACACACTTCCTCCAACAAGGCCACATCTCCAAGTAGTGCCACACCCTGGACCAAACCTACTCAAACCACCACATTCCACTCCCTGGCTCCCATAGGCTTGTTCAAATTTATGAGTCTATGGGGGCCATACCTAAACATAGCATAATGAAAAATGCATTAAGTCCAACTTCCAAAGTCTCCATAGTCTATAGGAGTCTCAACAGTGTTAAAAGTCAAAAGTTCAGTCTCTTCTGAGATTCATCCAATCACTTCATTGTAATCCTCAAAGCAAGACAGGAAACCAGCTGGGCAAACTCCAAACTCTGCATCTCCATGGCTGATGTCAAAGCAGTCTTCAGATCTCCAATTCATTTTTCATCTTTGTTGACTACAACAAACTTTTTTCTCCTGGACTGGTTCTATTCCCTGTTAGCAGCTTTCCTGTGGCAGGTATCCCACAGCTCTGGCATCTTTAATAATTTGCAGTTTCCAAGTCAACTTCAGCTTCACAGCTTCCTATTCCAATGTCTGTGATCCACACATGATCTGGGCTCCTCCAAAGGGCACATCACTTCTCCAGCTCTGCCCTCTGTAGCACTCTAGACTCTGGATGACTCTACTCCACTGCTCTTGTTCTTGGTGATCATCCTACAGTACTGGCATCTCCAATAAACTCAGGTCTTCTGCTACAACTAGATTCACCAAGCAAGCTGAGATAGGAAAAATACAAAATATATGGCTCAAGTATAAAAGGGGCACCAGGAAGTAGAATGGAGCTGAATCCTATGTTCTAGGAGATAACAGATTAAGGGAGTGAGACTTTGGGGCAAGATCCTACCCAGCTAAGTTTAGGTCCAGACATGGTGGTACACACCTTTAATCCCAGGAGACTCGAGCCAAGTACATCTCTGAGTTTATGGCTAGCTTGGGTCAGAGCAAGTTCTAGGTGAAGATAAGCTTAAGTTCAGGTGGGACGGTACATACCTTTTTTGTTTTGTTTTGTTTTTCGAGACAGGGTTTCTCTGCATAGCCCTGGCTGTCCAGGAACTCACTCTGTAGACCAGGCTGGCCTCGAACTCAGAAATCCGCCTGCCTCTGCCTTCCAAGTGCTGGTATTAAAGGCGTGCGCCACCACCTCTCGGCTCATACCAGGTTGTTTTGAGACTTCCTTTTTCAAAGGAATTAATCTAAATCTCTTTATCTTAGCCTCAGGCAGACTGTTCAGACAATGGCAAAAAGCAGTCACATTCTTCACCAAAATACCACAAAACCAGTCTCCAGGCCACAGACTGAAAATCACTCTAAGAAACAAAGTCTTGCATATTTCTACTAGCATAACCCATTAAGCCCCACATAAAGGATTCCACTGCTTTCCAAACCAACGTCCCCAAATGCACATACTTCCAAACAAAAGCATGCTCAGGCCTATCACAACAATACCCTACTCCTAGTACCAACTTCTGTCTTAGAAGGGTTTTATTGCTGTGAACAGACACTAATTTAACATTTAATTGGGGCTGGCTTACAAGTTCAGAAGTTCAGTTCGTTATCATCAAGGTAGGAACATGGCAGTGTCCAGGCAGGCATGGTGCAGGAAGAGCTGAGACCTCTACATCTTCATCTGAAGGCCACTAGAAGACTGGCTCCCACATGTTAGAAGAAGGGTCTTAACGCCCACAGCCACAGTGGCACACTTTCTCCAACAAGGCCACACCTCCAAATAATGCCACTCCCTGGACCAAGCCTATTCAAACCACCATACCAGCCTTGGTGGTGAAAGCCTGTCATCCCATAATTTGGGAAAGAAAGACATCCTGGCCTACCTGGTGAGACCTTGTCTCAAACCATGCTATGGTGGTACTAAATATAGGGGCTGTAGGGGACCTAGGGGATGGAAAAGAAGAGCTGGGAAGATTTCAAGGGATGGTGATGCCTGAGCTGGGTCTGAAATAAGTTAGAGATAATTGGGTGAAGGAGTAGGAGGCAAGGCGGTATATGTGTGAGCTGGGCTGCCTGTGCAGTACACCAGGCTGATCTATTGGTCCAAATGCAGATGAGGAGCCAGTGATGTTGCTCTGTCCAATCTCCAGCACAGGGATAGGGGGAGTTGATGGTGGCATAAACCATTTAGAAATGAAAGTCTTGAGACATGAAGATCAAGTGGCAGCTGAGTAACAGCAAATAGCTGAGAGCTCGGCTGTGGAGGCTGGTGAGATGGCTTAGGGTTAAGGTCACTGCTCTTGCAGAGGTCCCAGGTTCAGGTCCCAGCGCCCACATGGGGGCGCACAACCAGTTATCACTCCAGTTCCATGTAATTCAACACCTTCTCGCCTCTGTGGGTACTGTTCACGTGTGGTGCACATACACATACATTCAGGCAAAACATTCATACACATAAATTAAAAAGAAATTCTAAAACAAAAGTACTTGTCTATGGGACTAATTAAGCTCGGCTAATAATCAACCCAGTGACTTTGAGCTTCTCTGGGCCTCAGTGTCTCTATCTGAAAAAGGTGCCCAGTCAGAGCACCAACCCTGTGTCTACATCTGTCAGTCATGAACTGTTTACTGAGTTTCCATTACATATAAGCACCATGGTGGAGCCAAGACTCCAGAAGAGAATAAGACAGTCATAGACAAGGTCTTCATGGAACTTTTTCCTAGAGAAACAACCAAGGCATTGCACCAGGAGTTGCAAACAGAGGCGGTTATTAAATGAACTGAGTTTAGCTAGTAGAGAATGTGGGGAGGTACTGCAAGCCAGAGAAGTCATGCCCCAAGCTACAGTACCACAACTGGAGACCTTTTAAGTAAAGTATCCAACAGAGTGAGAGCTACCAGTGTGCAGCCCAGACTGCTTGCAATAGTGTCTTAGTTACTTTTCTATTATTGTGAAAAAACACCATGACCAAAAGCAACTTGGGAAGGAAAGGGTTTATTTCATCTTACAGCTTGTATTCCATCATCCAGGAGCTCATGCGAAGGCCATGGAAGGGGTGCTGCTTACTGGCTTGCTCCTGGTAGCTTGCTTAGCCTGCTTTATTATATCACCCAGGACAGCCAGCCCAGAGTGGCACCACCCACAGCCAGCTGGGCCCTCTCACATCAATCATTAGTCAAGAAAACGGAACACAGACTTCCCTACAGGCCAGTTGGTGGGGACATGCTCTCAGTTAAGGTTCTCTCTCCTAAAAGAGCTCTAGCTTGTGTCAGGTTGACTAGCCAGCACAGATGGTGATGGGGCATGGAGGAGCATATGGGTCAAGGTATGCAAAGTTGCCATAGGGCTCCAACTGTGAGCTGGGGCATGGTCTAAGGCTGGGAAGAGGAGGGGGGAAGAAGAGGAGGAGGGTAAAAGATACAGAGCAGAGGGAGCAGCAGGTGACAAAACCTTAGGCAGGATAGGGCTCCCTTCCATCACAGAGGGGACAGAAGGGACCTAAATGAGCCTGTGCCACTGGAAGGAGAAACTGAATTGCCAGTAAGGCTGTGTGGGAAAAAGGACCTCTTGTCCTGAGGACTGCAACTGTCAGGGGAAAGGCTTCATGATGTGAGCAGGTGTTCAGTTCTGTAACCCCCTGCCTGAGCACCCCTGTATTCCAAAGCAAGTTAAGAAACAACTCAGTAAGAAAAAAAAAATGGGTTTATTTACAAGTTAGCCAAACTGGAAAGAGGAAATACCTATTTTATTCATTTTCTCTCTCTCTCTCTCTCTCTCTCTCTCTCTCTCTCTCTCTCTCTCTCTCTCTCTCTCTCTCTCTGTGTGTGTGTGTGTGTGTGTGTGTGTGTGTGCATGCACACAGACTTATAAGTTCTAGAAAAGCATGGGACAAAAGGCAGGTTAGCTGTGAGACTGTCCAGCCAGTCCTTTCTTGAGAAGAGAGAGTGGCTTGGCCCCAGGGTGCCTAACTGTCTCCATTAGCAGAACAGAGGGTCTGCTGCACCCCTTGTGCGGATGGATGTTTTGCTGCATGTATGTCTGTGAACAATATGTGTGTAGTGCTTTTCGAGGGCAGAAGAGGGTGCTATACTCTCTGTACCTGGAATTACAGGTGGTTATTCACTATTACTTAGATGCTTAAAATTGAACCCACGTCCTCTGAAAGAGTACTGAGCCATCTCTACAACTTCCTTATTTTTTGTTTGTTTGTTTTTTGAGACAGGGTTTCTCTGTATAGCCCTGGCTGTCCAGGAACTCACTCTGTAGACCAGGCTGGCCTCGAACTCAGAAATCCGCCTGCCTCTGCCTTCCAAGTGCTGGGATTAAAGGCATGTGCCACCACTGCCCAGCTCCTTATTTTTTTTACATTTATTTATTTCAACAGGTAGAGGAGGGTCTGTCATGGTGCAGATGTGGCTGAAGGGTGATTTGTGGTAGTGTGTTCTCTCCTTCTACCATATGGGTTACAAGGATTGAACACAGGTTGTGTAACTTGGCAGCAAAGCACCTTATCCACAGAGCCATCTCACCTGCCTACTTGATATGTCATTACAAGTTGGGGCCTGAGGAACAGTGGCACAGAGCTTCTTCAGCAAGCACAAGGCCTTGGGTTCAAGTCTCAGCAGCATGAAGAAGAGAACTTATATGTAGTGGATGTAGATATGTATATGTATGTGTGTATGTGGATACATATATAACAGCACACTGACTACAAAGCAATGCTAATAAATACCTCCATCACCTGATAAATTAGGTAGCTATTATCCCTATCTTATGGAAGAAACTGAAACACAGGCTAAGCAGGAAGCAAGCGGTGTTGAGGTTTGGTCTTTTGCTATGTATTGTAATGCCCTATGTAATGTAATGTAATGTAATGTAATGTAATGTAATGTATTGTAATGTATTGTAATGTATTGTAATGTATTGTAATACTGGTCCCCAAGGCCCGGTTGCTCCCAGGGATAAGAGAATCCAAATGTACAATGTGACCTTGTTCCTTAATTTAAAACTATTGGTTAAATAAAGATGCTGACAGTCAATAGCTAGACAGAAGAGACACAGGCAGGATTTGGGGTTCCTGGGCGTAGTGTCAAAAGGGAACCACGGGGGCGGGGGAGAGAGAGATGAATCATAAAAACATAGCCATGAGGGCTAGCCAATTGGAGTTAAGAGCTGCCCAGATGGAAGGAACATGGCAAATTATGACATGGGGTTACTGAAGGGAAAGTAGATTCTAATAGGATCGAGGGGCTATCTGCCCAGTTCTAGTGCCAATTGAGGCTTTATAAATATAAAGGTTGTGTTTCTTTTATCTGGGAACAGAATAATCAAAGGTAGGGTAGAAGCCCCTGATTGAGATTAAATACTTTCTACAACACCAGATCAGTACTTAGACCCAAGCCCTCTGGATCAGAGTCTTTGCTCCCACCAGAGGGTGCTATGATTCCTAGGATGGTCAGACAGGATGAGGTGGATTCTTTGGAGCTCGTGCAGAGTGTAATAGGAATCAGACTGTGGAAAGCCCTTTGCTTTGTGTCTTCTGTTGGTGTATGCAGGTGATGTTAGCTAATACCGTTTTCCTTACCATTGTGATGCAGTGATACAGCCAGGCCAGGGAGCAGGCACCCTGATTCACAACTAGTTCCTACAACAGCCCTTCCCTGATTCTCCTTAGTTCTCTTCCAAAAAGGAACTCACCTTGTAACCCCTTCTCACAAGGGTCCTACCAGTCTCTCACCTCCGTAGACGATGACTTTGATGAAACCACTAGCAAACCTGTCTTCAAACCCGAGCTGGTCACTGCCCATTGCTTCAGGCGGTTGAAGCAGAAAGACTTCCACCTGCCAAAGAGCCGCCGGCGGATCATCATTGTGCCTAGCACAAAGGACCAAGTGCTGGCCCAGCCCACAGTCCCTCTTCCTGCTCCCCTTCCACTCATGCCTAGCTTCAAAGTTCTGGATACTGGAGACACCCAAGAGCTGCCAGTGAACAAGAAGGCTTGGCTGAATCAGAGGGCAATGCTTCGGAGACAGCTGGAGACATTTGGTGATGTCAAGAGGTGGCTGGACAATAAGCCCACCATCACATCATCAGAGATCAAGGTTCTGTCTGTGATTCGCCAGGAGCAAAAAGCCCCCAAACGTACCTTGATTTCAGTCAGGAGACCCAAGGTGAGAAGCCCTTGAGGCCAGAAGGTGCTGAAGGCTTCAGGAATGTGTTGTCATTTTGTTTCCTTGGATTAGACATGACAAGGTGGTTTGCCCCATTTTACAGAGGAGCAAAACCAAGTCCCCCAAAGGAAGGTGTATGTGTGATCTATTGCTGCATAACAAATACTCCAGAGTGACTTTAAAAAAACAAATGATTATCATTCTGTACAGCTGTGTCTGTGACTCTGGACTCTAGCTGAGAGACTTTGTCTCCACATCATGAGACTGCGGTTCAGGACAGAGACAGCCTCTGACTTGACCAGGGCAGGAGAGCAGACCGCCCTCCAAACTTGTTCAAGTGGCTGTTGATCAGAGGCTTCAATGCCTTCCTCAGGGATCCAGAGGCTGCATAAGAGTTCTCACAATAAGAAGGCTAGCTGCCCACAGATTGAGCCTTCCAGAATGGAGAGGAAAGAAGTCAGTGCGGTTATGTCCTTGCTTTGGTCTTGTTACCGCACCATATCAGAATAAGCCACTGAGTACTGTCTGCACCATGTGAGTGGGAAGGAGAGTCCATCTTGGTCAGGGAAAGTCAGACCACGTGGATGTGCTTTAAAAGCATCCCAGCTGGGGTACACTAGCAGTCTGTCTTGATGATGGACACCTGTCTGCTGGAGTGGCCAGGTCTAAACCAGTGCTAATTTGAAGATCAAGACTATCAGGTTACGGAGAGGAGGAGGGCCACCTTGTGATGGCATTACCTAACTTGGAACCATGACTTGTACACTGATAAGCGAAGGTCAGCCACACACCCTCAATAAGCCAATTAAAGCACCCTAATAAATAATAAAGAACAGGAAGAAAAAGGATTTATTCAGTATGGCCACATTGAGAACAGGGCAAAGATATACAGTGCATCCTGCCCTCCAGAGCATCTTTGGGTTCTGAAATGAGATTGAACTTTAACAAGAGGGCTAGGGATATGCACATCTAAGCGGTCCTCCTCCCTCGCCCCACCCTTGCCTCTTCTAGGGCCAAGCTCTCAAACATGTCCGCAAGTCTGCACCCCAGCTGCGACTGCCTAAGCCCCCTGTCCTGGCTGACATGTATGCCTACCTGCGTAGTCGGAAGATCAAGATCCTGGAGATATTTAGCAGGGCAGAGCGGGGTGAGAACCAGCGCATCTCCAGAGAAGAATTTCTCATGGCTCTGAAGGCAGTAAGTATGAGCTTCTCAATGGGGCTTGGGGTGTGTCTTCCTACCTTTCTCAGGCTCTGCAGTCCTGAGGGGTAGACACCAGGGTTCAGCTTCATATTTGCAGAACCACACTAGGAAACATGGCATGACCTGCAGTCTAATCATAGCCTTAAAACAACCTCTGCATGCCGGGCGGTGGTGGTGCACGCCTTTAATCCCAGCACTTGGGAGGCAGAGGCAGGTGGATTTCTTGAGTTCGAGGCCAGCCTGGTCTACAGAGTGAGTTCCAGGACAGCCAGGACTACACAGAGAAACCCTGTCTCGGAAAAACAAAAAACAAAACAAAAAAACAAACAATCTCTGTACCAGGCTGACCTGGAGAGATAGCTCAGGGTTTGTGAGCCCGGCTGCTCTTGCAGAGGACCCGGCTTCAGTTCAGAGCCGCCCACATAGCCATTACCACTCACCTCTAACTCCATGTGCAGAGGATCTGATGTCCTATTCTGGCTTCCAAGTGCACTGTATGCACATGCTGCATAGATGCAAGCATATATACACAAACATCCATATACACAGCCAAGATAAACTGTGCATACATTCTTATCTGCTGACCCATCTCTCTAGCCCACAACTGTCTCCAGCCGGGGCTTGAACTTGGGACCTTGCATACACCAGCAAGCTCTCTACTACTGAACTATATACCCAGACTTATACTTTCAACTAATGAATTTCCAAACATTTTTATGAAATACAATTATGTGAACATCCAAAACACTTTTAAAAAGCAAATGTCTTTAACTACAAAAATAACAACAAGAATACTGTAAATATTAAATCCTGGCCCAGGAGAGGTAGCTTAGCAGTTAGGAGCACTTACTATTCTTGCAGAGGACTGAAGTTTGGTTTACAGAACCCAGTGACAGCTCACAATACCCTGTACTCCAGTTCCAGAGTATCTGTCACCTTCTTTGAACCTCCGTGGTTCAAAGCACTAGATATGCTTGTGGTGCACTTAAATACATACAGCCAAGACACTCATGCACATAAAATAAAAATAAATCTTTTTTGTTGTTGTTGTTGTTGTTTGAGACAGGGTTTCTCTGTGTAGGTAGCCCTGGCTGTCCTGGAACTCACTCTGTAGACCAGGCTGGCCTCGAACTCAGAAATCCGCCTGCCTCTGCCTCCCAAGTGCTGGGATTAAAGGCGTGCACCACCACCGCCCGGCAAAATAAATCTTTTAAAATATTTAAATATGAAGTTCTTTAGCACCAGGACAGTTCTGAGCTGACCCAAGGACAGTTAAGCAGTGACTGTTGTCTAAAGAGAATGAAGAGACAATTATATTCATAATTATGATTCCTTTCAAATTTTTCTTTATGAACATTCAATGTTTCTGGTAAGTACTACATACCTTCAAAGTTGTCTATTATCCTTTGTATTAGTCAGAGTTCTCTAGAGAAACAGAACTGATAGAAGTATGTATGTATGTATGTATGTGTATGTATATATGTATGTATGTATGTATGTATGTATGTACAGTATTTATTAGAGCAGCTTACAGGTTATGGTCCAACTAGTCCAACAGTGCTTGTATCCTGATGGAAGGTCCAACAAGCCAACAGTTGTTCAGTCTAGATGTCTCAGCCAGTCTTCAGTATATGTTGGAATCCCAAAGAAGTAGGCTTTAATGCCAGTGAAGGAATGGATTTGCCAATGAGAGCAAAGGCAAGCAGGAAAAGAGCAAATGCTTCCTCCTTCTAGTTCTTCATATAGGCTTCCAGGAGAAGGTGTGGCCCAGATTCAAGAAAAATCTCTCAGCAGGTATACCCAGCCACTTGGGGTTTAGTTAGTTCCAGATGTAGTCAAGTTGACAGCCAAGAATAGCCATCATATCCTTTAAAAGAAACGTCTGGGTTTCTAATCCTCTAGTCGAGGAGGGCATACTTGTCCCTCATGTATAATGATGGAGGAATGGCTTTCTTCCTATCTAGTATGGTAATCAACTGAAAGAGACGATGAGAAGATAGTTTTTCAGGCAGAAAGAAAAGCCAAGTATGATAAATTCCAGAATGCATCAGGGTCGGACAAGGGCTCTGTACTACGTAGCAGAGAGTTAAAAAGTTGAGCATGCTTGCCAAGCCTGCTGGTAAGGGTTTGGTGGGCCTCAGTAACTTCTTGTGTCTCCTCAGATCGGAGTCCCTCTGAAGAGCCAGGAGCTGGAGGACATCATCATTTACCTTGGCTCTCTTGGGAAGCAGAATGCCATCACCACAGAAGCCCTGGCCAGTACCTACAAGCAGTGGTCACTGGCCCAGCAGAGAAGCACCATACCTTCTACCAAGGAGTGTGCGTGCCCCGCCCCCTGCCCTGGAAGCCAGCCTGGCTTTCTCCAGCACCACATCCTCACGTGGCTCCTCCTTCTCTGGCTTGCTATAGGTTTGCCAAGCTCTGGAGTTTCCAGACACAGAGACCAATGAGGAAGAGGATATTTTCTCAAAGGCCCAGCTGCCCTTTTGTCTGTTCAAAGATGAAGTCCAGCCCCTGTCCTTAGATGGTCATAAACTATTGATTTAAAAAGCCCTGAGGGCTGGGCATGTGAAGCCGGAGAGAGCTTGGCTAGCCTGTTGGAAGCCCTGGATTCTGATCCCAGCACTGCACACACTAGGCTTAACGGTCCCATCTACAGTTCTAGCAGTCGGGAGGGAGATGGGACAGCCTTGGCTTTGTAGAGAGTTTGAGGTCCGTGTGGGATACAGGAGAGTTTGAGAGAGAGAGAGACAGAGAGACAGAGAGACAGACACAGAGAGAGAGACAGACAGACAGAGAGACAGAGAGAGAAACAGAGAGAGAGGCAGACTAAACATGTTTGGACATGTCTGGAGTTAGCTGCTTCTGGCTCTCTGCCGTCATGGATATTATAAGGGATGCTGTGAACAGCTGTGTAGATCATACACAGCCCACACTGTGTTTGCCCTCATGTGCTTGTGGGGCTACATCTGTCCAAAAGCAGCAAGAAGAGGGGAAGTAGAAAGGACTATGTAATATGAATTTACTGTACGAGCCTGTATCTTTCTTTTGACTGTTTGAGACCTCTCTACACAGCTCTGGCTGTCCTGGAACTCACTGTGTAGATCAGGCCTGCCTCAAACTCACAGACCTCTACCTGCCCCTGTCTCCTGAGTGCTGGGGTTACAGGTATATGCTGCCATGCCTAGTTTTGGGTAGTGCTGACATTGAACTCTGGTTTCTATGCATTAGGCAAGCATTCCTCCAGCTGAGCTACACCCCCTCGGCCTTTCTGTCTTTTTAAAATTTATTATTGTTGTGGAGAGAAAAAAACCCAAACAGCTGCCACACTCCCCATCCCAACTCCCAGTTCCCTGTCAAATAGAGCAACACCGTTATCTCTTTAAGTGGAGCGAATGGGTCTTGCTCTGCCCCTATCCACCAGGCTGGCAGGAAATTAACTTCAGATATATTTTAGGGAGGGGTGAGGTTCTCTCTCCTTTGAGATGAAATAGAAGTTGCCAGGAAGCAGTTGGAGGGATTTTCTTGCAGGGGTGCCAAGTTGAAGCAGGGTTTTTAGAGCCAGGGCGAATGGCCAGAGTGTGTAACATCCTCCCTGGTCTGGTGTCTTAGGCAGCTCCTGCATGGTGTGTGTTCCCCAGCTCTAGAGGTCAGACTGCCCTGCAGACACACTGGCACCCAAGCCCAGCCCACTCCCATGAGGGTCCCTGACACATCAGAACCTTGGAAACCCAAGCACCCTTACAGTTTCGATGGCCCAGGATCAGCACCTTGTAGATTGCACTTTTCCACTCTCTTACTCCCATAATCATCTGAATGCCCAGAGCTACTGTGATCTCACAGCTGGCTGCAGTTACTAGAGCACAGCGCTCCCCAATAATAGCTGTAGTCAACAGATTTTAATACACCCACACCCTGCTTTAAAAATATTCCTATCTTGATTTGAAGTCAGGCAGCAGTTATTTCAGCATTGTCAGATGCCACCCTGGAGGGTGGCAGTTGGTAAGACAGGTGGACTTGGGGAGTCTCTCGGTTTGTCTAAAGTAGCAGGCATCTGGGGCCCTGGAATCAGGAAAGGAGCATCATGTGGGCTGGTAGCATTTGCACAACACAGTTTATCCAGCCTGTCTGGAGGTTAGGGTTGCTATTCATGTTTTCTTTGGAGGAAGCAAATGTCCAGAGAGGCTGAGCTGCTTGTCTGGAGTCTCAGGAGGAGGTGAGGCCAAGATTTCACCTCAGCATGAGGCTACCACCAGGACCATGGCAAGGTGTCAGAATCTTTTCACTGGTCCCCGTTTGGCAGTTAGCGAGATGACAGCTGAAGCAGATTCTCCCAGGTGCTTGCCGTCCAGGGAAAGGAGTTGGTTTTAGTGTGTTCCCTGGGAGCCAGGAGAGGCCTTGAGGTACTCTTGTTTACATTTTTTGTTTGTTTGTTTTTGTTTTTCAAGACTGGGTTTCTCTGTGTAACAGTTCTGGAAATTTGTAGGCCAGGCTGGCCCTGAACTCACAGAGATCTGCCTACCTCTCCCTCCAGGGTGCTAGGATTGAAGGTATGCTCCACCGTTCCCAGCTTCCATTTTCTGAGTTGTTTGCCACTTGGTGGGAACACGGTAACAGAGAATGGGGAAGGTGCAGGAAAGAAGGTGTGTGGGGTGTGCAGATGTGAGGCCTCATAACAATGGAGGAGACAAACTCACAATGCCCCTCAGGCAGAAACTGGCTGGACATATAGGAAAGGAACAGAGGAGCATGCTGGCATCTGCCTGGTGATGTCAGGTTGAGTTCCATAGCTTGGTTGCCCTCTTAGTCCCTCCGTCTTTCCTTCCCACTCTAGATTACAATTTGTCTGGAAAGAGAACCTTTCTGAGGCATAGCCCTAAAAAGCAGCAGGCTAGCTCATCCCCACAGCCTCCCAAGATGGACCTGCTGAAGGTGCCTGAGGTTGATACAAAGATGGAAGGGCGGCCCATGTCAGAGGAAGACATGGAAGATGTGGGCAGACGGTACCGAGAAAGGCGGAGGCAGAACAAGGTACCTCTCTAGCACAGGCCTTGGGGGCTGGGCAAGCCAGGGTTTAGGACTTGGTGCTGACACCTGCTAGCTAGGGAGACTTCAGGAAGGTCTCACCTCGATCAGCCCTTGTCTGTCATCTGTACAGTCAGCTAGGTGTGGTGAAACACCTCTATAATCTCATCACCCAGGAAGTCCAGTTAATAGGAGTTTGAGACCAGCCTGGGCTACACAGTTAGTTCCAAACCATTAAACCATTAGAGCTACACAGCGAGAGTCTGTCTCAAAAACAAACAAACAAACAAAAACAACCCACATATACAAACAAACCGAACAACAACAAAACAAACAAAACCTAAAACAAAACAAAAAAGACTCAACAGCCAGTGATGACACTGGGTGACACTTCTCAACCTCTCTGCACTGGCAATGTGGCTTCTACTCAGGATTACACACAGATGGCTATACCTGACTTAGAGTCCCCCTGCAGCCGAAGACTCAAACATCACCTTCAACAGGACACATCTGGGGCACTTACTGCTACTGGGCCTTTTATGGATATTACACATTACAGAGTACATGGGCACACCCAGTCTGAGTGTGTTCTGAGGGTTCATGAGCTAAATGCTCAGAGCCCCCAAGGGGAGAAATCTTGACCTCGATGCTTGCTCCTCTAAGCTGCTAGCTTTGGAACCTGAATTGCAGCCCCACTACACACACACTATTCTTCATGGGGGCCTCTTTGAGGAGGTAGAGAAGGTGCTATGCTGCCTTCTAGCCAAACTGAATGTCACAAAGACACAAGATGGAGTAATTTCTGTTCTCTCTGCAGCTCACTCTCCCCTCCATCCAATACATGGAGAACTGCCGGCTGGTTCGATCTGGGACAAAACAGTTTGATGATCACTGCCTGCCATCCACCATTTCTGGAGAGATGGAGGAGCTGCTCAACATGACCCGTAGGGATAACTTCCTAGTCTACCTACAGTGCTGGGAACTTTGTGAGGCCTACGGTCTCCCACTGACTGAAGACATCCTCATGAGAGGTAGGGCTTGCTTCAAGGGAGAGCCTTGGCTAATATGGAGTTGACCCTGATACTGATTACCCTATACATGCACCTAGACAAGCCACCATGGCCTTTGGTGGGAACACTTGAAAGGAGGAGGAAGAAATGCAGACAGCCTGACTGCTAGGTGGGCTTCCTAGGACACAGGCTCTGAGACACATGGGCTCCTTAGGTGAGATTTGGGAGAGCTGGGTTCTGGAGCTCTGCCTTCGAACACATGTATTCACTTCCCTGTATGTCCACCCTACATGTATATTCCCCTCCACATCTGTGAGACAAATTCAAAACAATGAGAAAACCACCATCAAAATAGTTGGAGCAAGCCGGGCAGTGGTGGCGCACACCTTTAATCCCAGCACTTGGGAGGCAGAGGCAGGCGTATTTCTGAGTTTGAGGCCACCCTGGTCTACAGAGTGAGTTCCAGGACAGCCAGGGCTATACAGAGAAACCCTGTCTCGAAAAACCAAAAATAAATAAATAAATAAATAAATAAATAAAAATAAAAAATAAAATAAATAAAATAAAAAAATAAAAAATAAAAAAATAATTGGAGCAAGCCCCTACCTCTTATCAAAGTAGTTCTAAGGGCTGGGAGCGGCACTCCATGGTAAACTCTTACTTATCAAGTATGGTGTCCTGACTTCATACGTACACACACTCACACTCATACACACACTCACACACACACTCACACACACACACACATTCATGGAGGCACACACACTAATTAACCTAGTGAAGTCTAGTTGAATCCCCTCACCTCCAACCTAAGCTTGCTGAGTAGCTCCATCTTAATTTGCTGTTAACTGGCCTCCCTCCTCGGTCCCCTGGTGAGCAGGGTCATCCAAGGTCCTTTTTGATACTGAACTGCAACTGTATGCCATGTTGCATTATGAGGAACTGTGGGAGAGTTCAGGGGAACTTTATATCCTATTATATCTTGCAATTTCCAAAGAACCTACTACCATCTAAAAATAAGAAGTTAGGCTGTCAAGATGGCTCAGCAGACAAGGCCATTGCTGCCGAGCTTAATGACCCAAGTTAAATCCCTGGGGCTCATGTAGCAGAAAGAGAAAACCAGCTCCTACAAGAGGTCCTCTGACCTCAACATGTGTGTGGAGGTATTATCTCTCTCTCTCTCCCTCTCCCTCTCCCTCTCCCTCTCTCTCTCTGGCACACAGACACAGAGAGGGAGAGGGAGAGGGAGAGAGGGGGAGAGGGGGAGAGGGGGAGAGGAGGAGGGAGAGAGGGGGAGAGGGAGAGAGGG